GTCCAACCAAAGTGTTTTAGAATCTGAATCATAGCACGGACCTATGTGGACACAGAGAAGAGGAGTCAGTTCACAAGCTCTAATAATTACTCACTACAGATCCTGCTTAATTAGTAAAACTAAATTGTTATTTAACACCACTCTTCAAATGATTTTGACCTGAAATGAATCACTGGGAATCGTCCTAAAAAAGGATGGAAACTTTTTTCGGTCACTCAGACAGGAACATGTGGCAAAATAACTGACCTGAGGTAAACACAAAAATTACAGTTTTATTTGCAAATTTGTTCCCTTCTAAAGTCATGTCCTCCACAATGCATTTGAAGTTAAATGACTAATACACTTACCAGAGGCACTCTGTACAACCCAAGAACTGTGGAGATGGCAATAGTAGATGTAGAGAAAGAATCACCAACAATCCCTATGACTGGAAGACCTACACAGGTCTCCTCTGATGCCATCACTCCTGCTTGACCACTGATTAAGGACATTGCTGCACGAAATCCGATTGATAACTCAATGCAGTTATCATAGAGACTGTATCCCAGAGTAACATTAGAGAGCAGGTTGGGATTTCTGTTAATCTCATCAATAGCAAAGGCCATTGTCTGAGCCTGTCTGAATCCTGAAGGATCAAAACTAACACAATAACATCAATTAATAAAATGTATTTGTTCATATGTTTCTGAATGAAAACATAACACATTTAAACACATACATTGTAAAAAAGAAAATAACTAAACAAATGAGATGATATTTTACTAGTTTTTCAGCCACACACTTACCCATAACAGACAAACTCCTGTGGCTCTGAGGTAAAAGACAGGTCAGGAACAGTAGAAAAGAAATTGACTGAAAACAATCCTCCTAGAATTACATCTCCTGTCTGGTGAATCCCATTCAGGTTAAACTGTCCTTGTAACTGACAGGTAAATGAATACAGAGAGGGAAATCTAACTGTAAAAACACAGACATAGATTAATAAAACAAAACTCATCTCTTGAAATGATATCATTGCTTTCCCCCACTTCTCTCTTCCCTCCACCAACTGAAGGTGAATCACTGTGTAACTCTATATATTGATCAATATGTTCTCATATCCAGGCTATAACGCCCATTTGGGAGAGGCTGTCGGGGCAGGACCATGACAGCATCTCTTCTGAGACTGAGATTGATAATATCTAGCAGGTAGGTAGAGGAACAAAGGGCAGCAAGGTCAGGACAGTACAAATGACAAATAACAAGGTTATAATCATAACATAATCTGACATATATTTACAGTTTTTGCATGTAAAATCATGTGGAGAGATTTCTGTTTACACCAAGGGAGTTCCTTGGCTAGGGCTATAAGCATTAACAATTGGGAATGATCCATGTCTGTTTTTCTTTTATTATTTATGTTTATTCTGTGGCTGCAACTGCCTGCTACCCAAGCAGTGCCCAAAATACCATACATCCCTGAGGGTGATTCTTGACCAAGTGCATGGAATTTTGCTCAAAGGTCCAGGATGTGTCGTCTTTCAGTTAATATGGTTTGTTCATATAAGCGCCTACAAAGAGGAAATGAATCCACCACCAACATTGAAGAAGACTGGACAGCTTCTCAAGCCAAGAGATCCTCCCAAAGTCTTCTCGGATCAGTGATAAGGAGGATGAAAACCAGAATAAAGAGGTGCAAAGGATGGTCTTACAATATTGCCTCAAATTAACAATTGGGAATGATCTATGTCTGTTTCTCTTTTATTATTTATGTTTATTCTGTGGCCAAACCTGCCTGCTACCCAGGCAGTGCCCCGTATATCGTATCTCCCTGAGCGTGATTCTTGACCTAGTGCGTGGAGTTTTGCCTTAAAGTCCATTATTTAAAGTCCAAGGAGCAGTTAAAAACAAATCATTAACTATGAAAAGGCAAGAAAGACAGTCCAACCAAAAGGCAAAATGAATCCAGCACCAACATAAAAGAAGAGTGGACAGCTACTCATGCCAAGGGATCCTCTCTGAGTCTTCTCGGATCAGTGATAAGGAGGTTGAGGATGAGAAACAAAATCAAAAGGTGAAGAGGAAGGTCTTACAATATTGCCTTAAAGTCTCAAAATGTAGGGACATCACTACTTTTAAGCCTTACTTCTGATCATGCTAATAGACTTAGCTTTTGGCATTGCAACCAACACTTGTTCTAAGACCTGTTTGTTGAGTAGTATTTCATCTTCAATGTTTCACAGACAGTTTAATTACGTGGGCTTAGTTCTGGAGCCAATATACCAAAAGGTCCAAAGCCTTGTCTCTTTAATATAATAAAAGAGTTTGAATAACTTCTGTGTGTGTGGAATAATGATTTATCAGTTTAAGCAATAAAAGAATCAACTGGATACGCTTTTCAAAAAAAAAAAAGATATCAGGTCATGGTCATGAGCAACATAAAAAATGTTTTTCATATAGGACAAAATTCTGGCTTTAGTTCAAAAAAAAGAACCTGTGAGGTCTGTCTGTCTCCCTTGCCTCCTTTCTGTTTCTGCTGTGTTAATTAGATTGATCACACTCACCTGTATCCGTATTCCCTAGTAATCAGTCTCACTTGTGTCACCTGGTGCCCTGTGTATATAAATACCTCTCTCCCTCACTCAGTCTTTGTCATGCTGTTGTTTAGTATTGCTGCCTTGTGTTCATTGTGTTGTGTTTCTGAGTTTTTGTTTTAATTAGCTAATGTTTGGGTTTCTGAACAGTTGCTCTGCAGTGCTCACTCTTGAAGTGTGGGGAAAACGCATTTATCCAAGGTGTAACATATGTTTATTGATTTGCCCTATTAGCTTTTGGCTAAATACCATACTACATAACCAGGCCCATTGAAATTTAAATTGAAACTTTGTACCAAACATTATATGTTATCAAAAACTGTATATACACAAAGAGTTTCAACTTCGGACAGTTGATTTGCCCAAAATATTTGATATATCAAAAAAACCTGTTTGAATGTGTACTTATTTAACACTTCTTACCCATTTGTTAGCTTTATCACTTCTGATTTTCTGAAAATTCGATTTACGTCACCTCTGTGAACTGAACCTCTAAATAAATCAAGACCCCCAGTATACTTTGTCAAATAAAGCTACATCAGATTGTTGATAAGGAATTGAGAACTATCTTCAGGGAGGTGGCTCAGCAATTGATTTGCATGCGTCACACAAGTAGAACAAAACATCTCCATTTTGTTTTCTGCTATCACTTCTATTTCTTTCTTTAATTTTAACCATGCTGTGGTTTACACAAGGAATTCTTATATTTCGTTAGCATTTATGACCCATTATGGCTTTCTTTGTGTTTCTCTCTGGTCTCATTAGCATAATATAACATTTAGGTCCAAACAGTGCCACCAATAGGCCAAAACTAGAGGCGAGAATGGCAAACACCTCTACTGCATCTGCATATTTTCCTGGTGAGCTGATATAGGCAGGAACAAAGGACACCCACACTGCACAGAAGATTAGCATGCTGAAAGTAATGAGTTTGGCTTCATTAAAGCTGTCTGGAAGATTTCGTGCCAAAAAAGCTAAGACAAAACTGAGGACTGCTAGTAAACTAATGTAACCAAGTAAGATTCCAAAACCAACAGTGGAGCCAATGGCACATTCATACACTATCTTGTCACTGTAATACTGGGTGTTTTTATGTGGTGCAGGTGAAGCCAAGACAAGCCAGACAGTGCAGATTACAGCTTGAAAACATGTCAGAACAAGAACTGTTCCTCTTTGCTGAACGGCACCAAACCACTTTAAACTGGCCTCAGCTCCTGGTTTGGAGGCCTTGAAGACAGCAAGGACGACCATTGTTTT